TCGATAATCTAAGTTGAGAATCTAGTTTCTCCTTGGTGCATCTCACTTGGGTATTGATAATCTTCCTTCACTACTCCGCCCGGTTTGCACTCTTGTGTTACTCTGATGTTTTGCAGCTTCTGGATCCCAGCTGAAAAGGATCAGCTTTTAAAAAAACCCGCGAACCCGAGTTGAGCGAAGCTCGGCTGCTCGGGCGAGTGGTGAGCGGTGAGCTGGGAAAATATATCTGTTGTAGGGATTGCAATTAATATTAGTGGGGCATGTTACTTCTGATTGAGGGTCCCAGTTTGCTCCCACTGAGTGATGAGCCGGGAAGTATGTTTTTTTCCCTCCCTGGAGGTGATTTTATTCCCACTTCAACGACAACGTAAATTGGCGAAGCACCCGGGGATTTTTAATAAATCTCCCCCTTCTGACAGGCTAAAGAATTCTGCGCGGTGTCGTTCTGAGCTGAAACATTTCTGCCTGCAGGGCTGCATAATGGCTAGACAGAAAATGCACACAGTGCAGCACAGCTCATCTTCCACTGAAACAGTGTAGCCCGCTGCACGCAAAGCCTACACTCGACGGTCAATCACGGACAATACATCCTGTTCCAATTCGCATTGGGAAAATCAGTTATAGAGTAGAAAAAAATACGTGACAACGGCATGTGGGTACCGAAGCCACTTCCACGGGGAAGTTAGAATGCCAATTTTTCGCTCACACCAGAATTGAATTAGCTACTTGTTTGTATGACTTGTAATTCTCCCGCAAATTTCTGAATGTACAAATCAATTTTGATGAGGTACTGATAGCGGGCTTTGCCGCGCAGCGAGCTACGTAGTTTATATATTTAATTCCCAATCCAGCAGCTGCAACGCTAATGCCTGCAAGAGGAAACTCTTCGTCAACACAAATGGCATCTGGGATAGCCCCCATGATAGTCTTTGGAGCCAGCCTTGTAGTTGTTTGAGAGGTCTCGGGCCATTCTTCCTTTTGCAGTTTCTTTTTCGTCTGAGACAGCACCCTGACGGTTTATAGAAGCCGGCTCGCCCATCGACAAACAGTGTTCTGCTGAGCCGGACGGCAGTGTAAACAAATGTGTGATTGTATTTTGCGATTAATAGAGCGTGTTTTAGGTGTCGACGCCAATCGCCTCCACATAGATTCCGGTCGAAACACTTGATACTGAGTGCCCTGAAGTTTAAAACTGAATGGGATTGCAACAACGGTCTGTATAAAGAACCCCTATCATCGAACTAGAGAGGGAAGGGAGAAAAATGCATGAATTCAGTGCTAGAACACGACGCGAGTGGTCTGGCATCCATAAAACCCAGCCCGAGCCTATCCAACGTTGAAGCATGCTGGTGATGGCAGGCGGGAACGTGAGGTCCAATGTTAGATGAGATGTTCACCCAAGATAACACAATCTGAGATACAATGAAAGTGAATGTAAGAATGCTGCAAAATGTCTGGAAACTTGTTTGGCCCCTCATTGCGGAGCCCAGTTAACCGGCGCGGCGCATCATTCCTGACCCATCAGCAGTTGCCATATTTGGACGATGTCCCGCGGTACGGGGTGAGCCACGTTCAAATGTCTAGCCCAGAGTCACCCCCAACGTCCCAGAATCTCTCCTAACTGCAAGACCTGTCCAAATCTCCACAATTAAGTTTGCCCCGGGAGGTTCAAGCTCTGCTATCAAAGCCAACCGTTTAAACAGTGTACAAACGGTTTCAAACCGTTTGACCCAGATGGCAAACTAAATGGAAACAAAGACGGTTAAAACCGTGTAAAACCGTTTACAAATGGAAATGGTTGGAACCTTACCTGAGACACGATGCCTAAGCCAGGAGACAAGCAGCGTATAATTAACCCATCTGCGAATGGAGCCCGGGAGCATGATCTTCATCCATGTTTGGAATTGGCACGTCGTGCGAGGTGTTCTACGTGGTGGACTGTATTGACGATCCATGTGTGAATGATATAGATTAGTCGGACTGTGAATACTTTTCTTTCATCCCTGATGTCGGCTAGAACACATCCCCACCGAAGAAAGTCAGCAGCAGTGAAAGTTATATTGGCATTGAACATTTTTCGACGTAGTCACACTGAGGTTCCAGCTCCTCACCCAAAAGCCGTGCAAACCCATCTCAAGGGATCTAAAGCCTAGAAGGGCCTTGAGTTACTTTGAGCGGCTCAAAACCGGTTACAAGTTGGTTACAAGCTACCCCGCCAGCGGCTTCGACCAGTTGCAATCCCACCCAAGCTGACAAGCCGACCCAATCCATTCCAACTGATTTGGGTTTTTTCCGACATCTGTCAAAATCTGCCAGTCCATCTCGACCTGGAACGGTCCCGTTGTGTTCGTGAGCCAAAATCCCCTCACCGCATTGTCCTCCACGATCTGCACGCCCGTGGGCTGCAGGTTCAACGCAACATGGTGCGTGAGCCCGTCGTTGATGCCTATGCTCGAGTTGGCGATCACGACGAATCCGTCGTTGGTAAAGTGCGTGTACTGCAGCTGCAGGACGGTCGGGTTGTACCGCAGTACTACTCACGTCCGAGCTGAGAGTAAGCTTGACTTCCGTCGCGGGCTGAGCGGAAATTAATTAATTAATTGTTATTTGAGCAGAGACGAAAAGGAATATCAGGACGCACCGCGATTTTATCGTATTGGATGCCGAGAAGGCGAGCGAAAATCCGGTGGTAAGTATAATACAGGGAACCCCCAGGTTGGTCCGCTGGTTGGTTCCGCCTGGCAAAGCCAGTATCAGTGGGAGTGATAATAGGCCGAGGGCATTGGGGACATAGTTCCACGAAATCGTGATAGGAGCCAGGAAAGCCACATCGGGTTGGGTATTTCTGCCGAAGAAACTGGGGTAGCGGGAGGGCGAGTTCAGAATGTCCTATTCGTGGGCTCTGATTGTCCCTTCCCTCTGGTGTCGCTTGTCAGGTTCGCGCGACGAAGTGTTTGATTTCTGAATACAACCAGGGTAAGTACTTCGGTGGGGAGTTCACACCGGTTTTAACAGCATCGAGTGCCAGGCTAAGCGTGTCTAAACCCAGTTGGAACCAGGTGTTATGGAATTTCCAAACGAACTTCTGAGCCGAACTCAAGAATACTTGGGGCGATTCATTTGTTCTGCTGAAGACCGGATGAATATCGGCTAACATCTGAAAGGTTTCTTTCCAGACACCCCTTGAAGATGATCCGGGACACAGCACGGACCTGCTGCACGGTGGATAAAAAAATGGAACTTGGCTAACTGTATTTCCTGCCGAGGACCGTGGTCGACCATCTAAAAGGTAATCAATCTTTGCGAGTCAAAATCTCACGCTCAGAGGACTAAACCGACGTCGTATCAGGCGTTGTGGAATTTCCGACCGAATCCAACTGAACTGAGCCCTTTCGGGAATTCTTCTTTTTCTTCCCATGATGCCTGAACGAACATTGGTCGATATCTGAGGGGTACTCTGTTAATTTATTCAGATGGAGATCTTAGTCTCTCGTAGACAGACGCTACAACAGTTTTGGTGCTCGTGCCTCGCATGTTGTTGGAGATCTTAAGGCTTGAGCTGGGACTGAATCCAGTGGGAAGCAGGCGTTGAAGAATTTCCGGCGACGATTCAATTGTTTTTGGGAGCAGGTATCTTGGGCCTCGTGGACTCGAGGTTACACCGGACTTCCACTACGGCATCCTGAACTCCGGATGAGCCATAGTTTGGAATTATGCTCGACATGGAAGGGGACAAAACAACACGGGGAGAGGGGGGGAATCTGTGCTCGAGATGGAGAAATTTCTACCGTCGAAAATCTTGAATTCTGCACCATGGGTATTCTACAATTGCTTTGAACCTGCGGGCAGTGAGTGAAACGTACTGTAGAAATTTACGCGAAGAACAACACGGAAAATAGGTGGTTGGTTTAAAATGCCTTTCTCGACGCCCGTCGTTTTCTCGGACAGCATTCTTCCCTCGCGGAGACATCACTTGGATAGGACTCCCTACGACCGCAGCTCGTGGTAACACGGCGCTCGCAGGCGGATACTTGAAACCGCGCCATTCTTGCGTGCATGCAATACACTTCGCGGCCGTTCCTCACGGGAGAGGAAGGAAGACGCACAAGCAGCTTCGCCCGCAGATTCCTCCGGAAGTAGTCCAAGCGATCAAGGACTACTGGCAGTGCCGACGCGATAATCATGGGGATGAGCGCCGAATCCTGATGCACATGCCGTACCCCAAGCTTGGCCTGGCTTGAGGCTGGATGAGATACGAGCCCGGCGCGGCCATATTCTCTACCCTGCTCTCGTCAAGACTCCGAGCATTCAGTACGCCGTCTGTACATGCGCGCTGCCGCTGCCCTTTCACTCTTCTCTCGCCGCCTCTCGCCACTTCTTCCAGTCCCACGAGCAGCAACGCGGGCCCAGGGCAAGCAGGCTTGCGCGCGAGAGGCGGCCCATTGGCCTGGACGTGCCGATGACACGGGCGGGAGGGGCGGCGGATGTCATGACGTCGGTGCGGGCTCAATACACGCTCGACGCGGGCGTTACGGGCGCGCGAGACACGACGCGTAATGCGCACTTACCCGTCCATCTCGACCTCCCCGCACACGACGAGGAGGTCCGCCCGCGCTGTGTCCCGGGCGTGTGGTTGAATTCAATGAACAAAATATTGATATATACATACGTCGAGGGAGAGGGCGAAGAAGGAAGCGAAGTAGAGTCCGTCTAAAATTAATTCGACGGAAGGTAACATAAAACCTTTTTGAAAAAAAATTCAACCGTCAGTGGATGATTCGGGTGCGGGGAGTCGAACCCCGAGTTGCAGCCCACTCATACTGAGATTACCTAAAGAACGCTGCCGTGCACCGTGCACCACACCCGAACCATTTCTTCATAAGCTACATTTTCTGTATGGGTTGGCAGAATTTAAAGTGCATGGCTCGGAAAAAAAACTGTCCCACAATATGAATCGCCGAATCTGGGACTCCAAAACGATAATGATTGTCTCTAGCGGATGCGGATGCGGGGAGTCGAACCCCGGTCTGCGGCCTCGTGGCTTCGCCAGACTTATTGAAAGTCGCCGTGCACCCTGCACCACACCCGAGTTGTTTCTCTATAACCTACATATACTGTATGTGTTAATATCTGAGCATTGATTCAGAGCTACCTCAACAGCGCTGCCATACGCAAGCTAAATTATATTCAAAAACCAGTTACGTATTTACTCTCACGGTTCTCACGACGTACTTGAGTGAGAGGTATGTGTATTTGTTAGCTATCCCTATAATACTATCTACTTAGCCCAGTGTCGTACAGGTCTCTCAAGACCAGTGCAAAGAAAAGGGTGAAAAACAGCGTTAACAAAAACCTGAACAAAATCGCGGACTTTGGCCAAATTTTTTTATAAAAAAAAAATGCAAAAAAAGCGGACTCTAAAAAAAATTGAAAAAATTCTCGAGGCCGAAAACACGAAAAAAGCAAAGTCCGCGATTTTGCAATACCGACAAACGACCTTGCATAAGTACACGCAAATTGAACCTCTTTACACCTGTTATTCCCACGTCATCGGGCCGAGTACGCGTGTGTGGCTGATATCCTGAACTGCTCCCGGTGCGTCGCGGGAGATCGCGGGGAAGCGGAGCCGAAAAAAGGATGACGTCAGTGCGGGGTTCAATACACGCGCGGCGTCGCGGCGGTGCCTGGGGGTTGACCGAGCATGGCCATATGCATGTAACACTGTAGTTGCATTGCAAGACACAAGTTAAGTTGGCGAATTTCTTGCAGCAAAAGAATGTGAAAGGCGGCTGATCATGACATTAGGCGAGCAAAACATGACTCGTGTGGCCACACCGTGACGGCGATTGCCGAATCGGGACTCTCCACTCTTGCTCTCTACCTCCACAGTCACCAGCTATCTCACTTACATCCTGATCCTACCCCACAACAACTTGCTTTTAACCTTGTCTCTATGCCTCCTCGCGCACAGAATCGTGCCCCGAATCGTGGTCCTCGCACTGGTACAGGTCCGACCGGAGCCGCGCCTGCTGCTCGTGAGTTCCGCCCATACATCTGCGTGTATCCTTACTTATGTTCTATTCAGCAGAGCACATAACCACGGTGGGCGTCCGACGCCCCGACTACGGCTCCAGCGGCAAACCGATCAAAATCAATGTCAATTCTTTCACTGCGGAGATCCCAAACGGGTCGATCTTTCATTACGATGGTGCGTCGCTCCTCCTTCCTTACTTCCTTAAATTTCTGCCTGACCTTCTGTTCCATGATCGCCAGTCGGTACGTATTCAGCTTCAAGCTAGCTCCTTGTTCGGCTCAGTCCTGATGCGCCTCGAGTTATTTCGGCTGATAAGATCCAACCCTCCGCGATGAACATGCGCCTCATAAGGGCGCTCCAGGATCACGTCGCACCTGGTATCTTCGCAGAAACGCGCTGCGCATTCGATGGCCGCAAGAATTTGTATGCGCCGGTCGAATTGAATTTGGGAGGGGATTCGCGCGAGGTACGTGCGTCCGGTTCTTTGGATGGATGAAAGTGCTAATAACTTGACATATTCTATCCATCCAGTTCGATGTGAGCCTTCCGGGAGCGCCGGTCAACAGCGATAGGCCACCCAAGATTTATAAAATCCGACTCACGCGCGTGGCGAAGATCAATACAGAGTACGGGTTTCTTTCTTTCTTTCCTTTCTTTTCCAGTCTTCACATCGCGCATAGAATCCTCCACCGCTTCATCGAAGGACGTCAGTCGCACGACAATGCGGTCAACACGGCGTTAATGGTGCGTCTATCGCTTGCTTGTCGAGCTCCTTTATATATATATATTCTGACACGGCACGCCCCAGGCGCTCAACGTCTTAATCCGCATGGAACCCTCCCAACGGTTCCCTGTCAAAGGCCGCTCCTTCTTCACACCGGAGGGCGCCCGACCCATCGGCGCCGGCCTCGTCCTCTGGCGCGGATACTTCCAGTCCATCCGCCCCGCCGTGGGCCGCATGCTGATCAACATCGACATCTCGACCGGCGTGATGTACCAGCCCGGCGAACTCATCAAGCTCTGCCTCTCCTTCCTCGGGGTGAACGACCCGTTCGTGCTGTCTGGGCGGCTGGACGACCGCAGGCGCATCAGGCTGGGGCGCTTCATTGCGGGGATACGGGTGCAGACAAGGGATGCGAGTAGGGAGGGGCAGGGGCGCGGGGGGGTGGAGCGCGCAAGGGTGGTGAGGAGGCTTACCCACCTGGGTGCTAGCGATGTTACTTTTGTGATGCGCGGGGGAAGGAGCATGACGGTGGCTAATTATTACCAGGAAGCGACCGGGAGGCCGCTTCAGTATCCGACTCTTTTGTGTGTTGAGGTGATTTCTTTTCTTCTTCTTTCCTCTTCTTTTTCTTCGTATATATATTTGCTTTGTGGAAGGAAGCTAACTACTATGCTTGAAGGTCGGCCAAGGCGCCTTGATCCCTCTCGAGCTATGCACCGTCCTCGCTGGGCAGCTCGTCAAGAAGGAGATTCCCGACGAGAAGAAATCGGACCTCGTCGCGTTTGCGACGATGAAGCCCAAGGATCGGCTTGTCAGCATTCGGAAGGGGTTGGAGGTACGTGTTCATTTCTCTTCTACCCATTCATTTCTCTTCCCATTCTTTCTCTTCTACCCATTTATTCGATGGACTTTGAGCTCACAAAAAAAAAAAGGTTCTCGCATACGGCCAATCGGAGTACGTCCGCAAGTTTGGCCTGACGGTCAACAAAGAGGCTGTGTCGACGCAGGCGCGGGTTTTGACGGCCCCGACGCTGAAGTATGGGGCGGGGAGCAAGGCTGCGACTGTTGTGAGTTGTGTTTGATTATTCTCGAATCTCTTGAGTGTCGAGCTGACACTTTCCCTTTTTAGCAACCGAGAAATGGGAGCTGGAATATGTGCGTGTTTGCTGGGATACTTACTTACTTCCGAGATTGACATTGATATCCCTCGTCGTTATATTAGGGCGGACAAGAAGTTCTACGTCCCTGCCACCATCACCGCCTGGGTGCTTGTGTATTTCGACATGCGGCTGGAGCGCGGGCTGCAAGATATTATTACTAGTTTTGTTGCGGGGTGTGAAAGCACAGGTGCCTATTCTTTTCTTTTCTTTTTTGTTCTTCTTTTCTTTTCTTTTATTTCGGAGTGTGAATACTAATGCAATGATCGATATAGGCATGAAAGTCACCCACCCGGATCCCATCGTACGGGGGATTAACGGCCAGGGCAATATCCCGGAGGTCAGTCTGTCAAATTTTTTTTTTTTCATGCGTGAATTACATAGCTTATCTATGGTTGACATAGCAATTGCGCGCAGCGGGTGCTGCGTGCTTTGAACAGAAGAAGGTCGGGCCGACTTTATTTGTTGTCATCCTTCCGGAAGGCGGGAATGATATCTATACTATGGTCAAAAAGTAAGTGGGCCGCAGAACCTCGGGGTGTTTTTTTTCTCACTGCGGTCGTTTTTGTAAATTCTGTTTTAGTTGGGGCGACGTCAAGGTTCGTAATTAAAATGCCCATTTTCCTGGTTGGTCCGAATATTTATGGAATACGTTTCACCATTTCTATGGTAGAGAGGGATTGCAACCCAGTGTATGAAAACGCGGAACTGTACGCGCGCCAATATCCAATTTTGGGCGAATGTTGCGCTCAAGTGGGTTTTTGATTACTTTCCAATCCGATTCGGGTCTCATATGTATGTGGTGCAGGATCAACGTCAAGTTGGGGGCATCAACGTCATTACGGATCCGACGCAGGTTACGCTTCTATCTGACCCACACAACCCCACCGTCGTGATGGGGGCGGATGTCATGCATCCCGGGTATAGCAGCTCTCTTTTATAACCCAATCTTCCGTGCCTCACATGCCCTTATGCTTATGTACTTAGAGCGGGAACGAACGGCCGCCCGTCGTACTCCGCGGTAGTCTCCAGCGTGGATTCGAACGCGGCCAAATATGTCACGATTCAGAAGGTGCAGGCGTCGAGGCAGGAGCTCATTTCGGACTTGCAGATGATGACGAAGGTGTGTGTGATTCCGATTCGTTCTAACTTTGGTGTCAACTGCATCATCTTATGTTGTTGCAATTGCTAGTATCTGTTGACCAAATACATGTCGTATCGAGAGGCAGTCGAGAAGGTGCCCCTCTCGAAGAAGGCGCCGAAGCGCTTGATATTCTATCGAGGTCCGTGGCTTCGTGTTCTGCCGATACTTACGATTTAACGTGCGGATGCGGCGCGTGTAGATGGTGTCTCGGAAGGCCAATTTCAGCAAGTCCTCGATCATGGTAATTGCTCCTGTTTTAATTAAATTTTTCGTACACGACTTGATCTCTTCGCGGGTAGAATTGCCGTTGATCAAAGGTTCGTTCCTATACTGTACTCTTTCATCGACGCAATGCTAACGGTGCACTCCAGCGGCATGCCAGGAGTTGGGAATCGCCCCTAGTATTACACTTGTGGTTGTGGGGAAACGGCACCATGTTCGGTATGTATAGTTACTTGGTCGCTCGGTTGTGGTATCTGGCTCATGCAATGAACCTGAACCACACTAGGTTATTCCCTGCCGACAAAGATGCAGATAAGAGCGGAAATTGTCCCGCGGGAACTGTCGTCGATCGCGACATTGGTCATCCCACCGAATTTGATTTTTATCTTCAAAGCCACGGTGGGATCCTTGGGACTAGTAGGCCTGGACATTATTCGGTATGTCCTATACATTTGTTTGTTGTTTCATCCCGCTCACCGAGTGTAGGTTTTGTATGATGTGAGTAAAAGAAAAAGAAAAAAGAACCAGTTGTTATTGGAACTTATCAACGCTTTTCTTTTCTAGGAAAACAATTTGACGTGAGCTACATTTATGCTGCGGATGTCTTCGACCACAGCTAGACTGACTCGACATTGACAGGGCGGACACGATGCAAGCGCTATCTTTCGCCTTGTGCCATGTCTACGCCGGTTCGACGCGCTCCGTCTCGATCCCTGCGCCTGTATACTGTGAGTCCACATGTCATCCGCATCCGCATCTGCGGGCTAAACAGTTCCTCAAACCTATTCTTATTCTAGATGCTGACAAG